ATCCCTGGGGTCCTACACTGCTGGTCCTGAGGCAAGGCGCAGGGAAGCGAGCAGGCACAAAGCAGATCTGTCTGTACATAGTTCCGTATTCAGCGTTTGCATTTCACGTGGCTTCCCCAGCTGCAGGGTACAATTCGTTGCGGAGGTGGCAGTACCTGCCCAGTTCCTCGGGACCGAAGCAAAGGGGGTAACGGCGGCAGGTACCCGCTCCCTCCCCTTGGTGGGCTCCTCTTGGGACAGCTGGTATTGTCACATCCACATCTAAAAAGGACTTGCGGGAAGCAAACACCAACTGGAAACGAGAGCCAAAATTGCAGTTGCCTTAATCTTTGTGAGGCAGCCTTATGAGAAATCCTCTTGATCTTGCTGAACTGATTTCAAAATGTACGAGAGATTAGGAGTAGGATAGTTGGGGGGGAGTAAGACTAGGCTGACCTTAGCATGTACTGCAGAACTGGACTGAAGTCGGGTTTTGCTGAAATCATTGCAAGCCTGCTCCAGGTTAACAGATGGATTTTGCATGCCTCATACGCCTGGGTCTGCCATGATTTCAGTGGGGACCCTCCCTGCGTAGGACATGCAAGATCAGGCCCTAGTCACGGCTGGATCAGCTTCCGTGGTGGCGTGGCTTAGATACACTCTCGTTGCGTGGTAGTGCTCAGACCAAAATTCCCCGTTAATCCTTGGGCTTTCTGCTGTGTCAAGTCAACATGCAGTACTTTTCGGAGCTACAATTAAGGCAATGAATTCATTGGAGCATACGGCTAGTTTTGACTAAGCACAATGGGACTATGATGGGTTTTTTAAAAGCATTTTATACACACTGTACAGAAATCTTTTGCAAAACCTGTGCATTGAGAAAAGGCTGTGTCCAATTTTTGCAGTATCTGTAAACTAGACGATGAAGATGAAGACAATTTTTTCTATCACAGGTTTTCAGTATACATATATTGTATCATATATATAAATATATATATATAAAGGATCCTGTTCCATTTCTAGCTTTGGAATTGCTTGGCCCAAAGTCCATCTAAGCCTTTCAGAGTGCAGTAGGAGTGGTGAGTTCATCCTTGTGCTTACAGCTTGAAAAACGTTTTCAGTGTTTAAAGTATGTCATTTGTTTCATTTCCAAACTTGTAAATATCTCTCAGCTGCCGTTAGCACCTCATCACCAAAGCATTTGTGAGGATATTTTTATGTCCAAAGCCTAATTTGTAATAAAATAAAAAAATATTCATAATTAAAACATTTCTCTCTTGCAAGCCAAGTTGCAACATCATCATGTTGATGTTACAGTGATGGAGCCAGCCTTAAGCATAAACCAACGCAGGGAGTCTGCAGTGACAAATCAGCAGTTCGTAGGCTGGCCAATCTTCCTCTCTAGCAGTGGGACTGGGAGGGGAAACACCTCCCCAACTGGTGCTTCCCCGTCCTGCTGCCGCACCGCACCATAAAACTACAGCTTTGTACGGTTATGATCAAAGAGATTTTTTTTCCCCCCCTGGCATGTGAGGGCTTTGTCTCAGTGCTGAGTGCCATTGCCATGCCTGTAATAGAAAATGTCAGTTGTTACCAAAGGTTTTCCTACAGAAAAGGGCTTGATTTGACCATGTGTGCTCAGTACAGACGCTCTTGTAAGGGCAAGAGTCAAATGTAATTTACCATCCAAGTACTGCACTGTGAGCCTGCAATATATCTGCAGGAGCAAAAGCTGTCTCTGCCAGCAGGTGGTGGAGATTCTCTGCAAGCACTGTTAATTCTCAGGGCTCTGTTAGCCCTTTTTTTGATCCACCTCCAAGCTCAGTTTCACAGCAGGTAGGAGACCTGGCCCTTCTCTTTGTGCTTGCTCTGTCAGAATGCTGGAGTGGTCAGTATTTTGCTAGCGGAGAAGAAAGGAGGCACAGCAAAAAAAACCCCAAAACCAACGCTCAGCACCACATGCATGTGATACAAGAACAGACCTTGAGGCCGGGGAGCCCCAGTCAGGAGGGTGAGCCTGGGTGCCCTATCAGAGTCAGAAGCGGTGTACACATCTGCGTGGCTGATGGAGAGAGATGCAATACAGGGGGACGTTGTGGAAAGGCTTGAAAGAGGCGGTGTTCACAGGAGGCTAAACCTTCTGGATCAGCTAGAACCTCTCTCTCTTAGTTCCCCTCTGTAGTGCAGCTGCTAATTTTCTAAGCAATCCAGCAGCACCTCTTAGACAAAGGCCAGACTCTCATCCTGAGCAAGAGTGTAAAGTATGCAATTTCTTAGCAACTGAAACTTCTTCAGACAGCAGTCACCAAGGGGTGTCTTTAATTAGCACCAGCCTCAGGTACTTTATCACTACAGGACTGTTTCTATTTCTTCCTATTTGTTAAAGCTGGCTCTTTGCACTGTCATTGTGCTGCCCTTACAAAAATGTTTATGGCAGTGTGGTTTATAAAATCCACAGCTTTTCTTAGGCATGTGGGTACAGTTTAAGTCACAGTCTTTCTGTTTGGCATTAATACAAACAAATTTTCATGTATCACGTGAAATCTGGAGTTATTTATCCTTTTATTTTCCTGCCTCCTGCATGCGCATCTCAAACTGCAACAGCAACCACTTTGGATGCACAGGGGGAAAAAGCTGGATTGTTTAAGGGAATATTTAAGCCTCTCATTGCTATCAAATAACAGGGAAGAAAAAAAACCTGAAAGAGAATACATGTTTAGGTATTGGTGCTCAGATTCAAAAAAGAGATTCCTCATCAAGGGAGAGCTGGAGGTGCTGAACTCTGAAGATTTGAATGTTATGGGTTGCTTCCCTTTATGGTTCTGCTTTTCCCATATCCATTAGAGAACTCTTCTTCCTGGGCGCTGCTTTTCTCACAGCACATTCAGGAAAACTTGAACCTGTTACTACTTCCAGATACATTTCTGATTATCAACCATTCTTGAATTTTATATCAGAGATTTCTTTTGCCTGAATAATATCAAGTTGACATGAAATGCTGCAATATGATAAATACAGAGGAAGCATTCTGACCTCGCTCTCTTGAGGGCTTTTTCAGCCAACCCGTGGCCTCTTTGCAGGCTGAACAGCTCCTGTAACTTCATTGTAAACTGCAACTCTGTTGTAAAGAGATTACTGGAGCTCAGTAAGTAGGCCTGGAGTGAGCCCACTGGGTGAGAAGGACCACAGCCAACCCCCTTTGCAGCATTCTCCAGCTACTGGATTTTTTTGTGCATGAATGATTGCCTGTAACAAATATGGGGAAACACGGTTTCTCATAAAGCTCCGTGAGGCCTTTACAAAGCTCCCCAGAGAGCAGCTGACTCCATGGGGAAGATTTCTGCCCACAGCTTTACCACTCAGGGTATTCCCAAGACAGCCAAGAGAAGGCGTGATGGTAGCTGCACCCTCTACCTTCTGTGGAGCTTCAGACCAGCTAGAATGACCAACAGTAATACCAGGCACGGAGCACCACAAGCCCGGTGCAGACTGGCCACCACCTTCAGACATCCTCACGGTGCTCTTACCCTGCACTGACATTGAAGGACACTTGCTCACGGTGTCCCCCAGCGCTGGGCTGGGTGACAGGCCTGCAGGACGGCAGCAGCAAAGGCGCCACTGAAACAGAGCTTGGCGGGCACAGTGACACACAGTTATTTGATGGCTACATTTAATGAACATGTGTGGCAGCAAGAAATTTACTTGCCTCCCTCTCTCTCTGCTCCACTTGGAGCAGCCAGGCCAGGCTGTTTCACTCCTAGCCGTCGAGTAGGAAATCTGATTGCCTGTGTAACACTGTCAGCTCCCATCGGCCACCCAGAGCACTTGCTGCCCTGTGGGAGCCCCCCCCCTCCACCAAGCTGCCAAGCCCCCTGCCAGTCCAGGCTTTTACGCTTTAATGTTTTAAAGCAATCCAGGCTTTAAAATTTATAAAATGTCTCTCTTCCTACTTGTACCAACAAGTCTTTGTTTCATCTTACTGCCTTTTTATTTTAAATGAATTTTTTTCAGTAACATTTATCTTTATAAACATTTGACTTTTAAACTAAATTAATACTGAGACAAAATCTGTGCCCTCAACTGACCTGTACAAGTTTCGTGGCTTCAGTGGAGTTCATTGGCATTTCTGATGATGCTCTTGGGCCTTTGTTAAAAACACCGTGAATAAATGCTAAATGCAGAACACACGTTATGACCTGACTATACATAACCATATTCCAACACCCTTGCAATGCGGGGACTGCATCAAGTGACCTGGGATAGTATAAACTGCCGAGACAGATGTAAAGGCTAGTCCGTATATGCCAAGGTCTAACAGAGAATTAACGCACACAGGGGCTAACCACCTGGTTTTGTTTCTGTTCCCTTTACTGCAGAAGCAGATGCTCCTCTAACCCAGGGCTTAGATTTGTTTTTCTGTCTCATTCTTTCACGTCCCATCAGAAAATGGTGCTTTCCCAAGGAAACAAAATAAAATCCCATTTTACTAGGCTGACTGCACACTGCCATCAAGTGATGAATTCTCATTCTGGGATCTGTATAGTGGTGTTACCATAGCGTCAGGATGCTGAATATTTGCTGTAACTGTAGTCTCTATCATGAAGCTAGTGAAAAAGCAACATCTTCTCTACTCAAGCCATATTTCACCTTCATGTCCAACTTCTGATGCTGGTGCTTTTACTTCTCTTTCTACCAAACTGTTCGGCGTTGCTCTGCCACTGAGGTCAATTTGCTGATAACTTTTGGAAGGCAAATGCAATAGAAAGTGCAAAAAAACCCCCAAAACCCAACAAAACCCAACCTCAGGCATTCACTGAGGTAAGAGCAAACAGTTGGAATGTATTGATGCTTTTCAGTCTTTGCAACAATCAACTGAAGGAGGAAAAAAGAAACAGTATTGCTAACAGCTCAGCATTTTCAAGGTGCAAAGTAATTCCACAGCCTTAATTATTTCAGTGTATTGCTGGTCTGCCTTAAATGTACCTTCAGTTTTATTGCGAATTTCATTTTGTTTGCACACAATGTTGTTTTGTAAAGGTAAGTTTGTAAATATTTCCTTTGTAAGTCTAATCACTTGTGTACTGTTGTGATTACTTGCTGTCCCATGTTGTTATTACTATACTGCAGTATATATGGTCACCTACAGATGTAGCTTCAAACTGTACATCTTCTGTCCTTGCATTCCTATAAATAGAGTATACTAACGATTCGTTTTCTGGGCTTTTTTGATTAAATACAATTGTTCAGAGAAGACCGGGTCAGTCTTATTTCACACGTATGGCCATCTTTCTGAGGTCTTGAAGACACAGAGCTCACCAATCACTTTACCCAGCTCCTTTTCCAGAGGGCTGCTCACAGGAGACCAGAGCAAGGGACTACCACTCCAGCCAACTCTTAGCCTTGCATACAGCCACCCGGGAACCAAGCAGCCTTTTGGGAGCAGCAGGAGAGCCTCGGGTCACATCAAACCCTCCCTGCAGCACCGGTTCCTGCTTCCCGATGGAAAGAACGGTGCTGCCCGGGGGACCCTGAACGCACCTCCTGCAGCGGGGTCCCCTGGCGTGACAGGGATCGTGAGAGGCCGCGCCCCGGGGAGCCGGGCCCGGGATGGCGCGGGCTGGGCCTCACACCCTGGGGAGCCGGGCCTCACACCCTGGGGAG